TTTCATATAAACTCCGTGATATCACTAAAAATATTAAAAAACAAGATCGTCTACATCATACTGGTGAGCACGATAATAATTATTACGGCGAATTAGATCAAAAATTTCTTCATCAGTCTCATTTAGTCGATGTATGATACCTAGCGCCAAAGTAAATAGTTTCGGACTAAATGGATTAGGTCATGGATTGGATCAAAATCTCTTCATCGGTGGTAGGGTACCTAACGTTGAAGTAAGATTAAATGGATTAGGCAAAGGTGGACAATTATTCGTTAACGTTAAAACATTAACTGGTAAAACCATAACATTGGAAGTCAAATCTATTATAACAATTTACAAATTAAAATCGTTAAGAAAGATTAATTTTTGCTGGTAACATATTAGAAGATGGACGTAAAGTTCATGCTCATCGGAGGTCGTATTGTCGAAGAGAACCACGAGTTTTGTAGTATGGAGGGAGAGCACTTACTGGATGAGGTCGAAGGCAAACTGGCAGAGTCAATCACGGTGGGTAACCACAATTTCCGAGACCATTCCGCGACTTGTCCATTCCAATAAGGTCTTAAGTCATGGTCGTTTGAAGTTGACACCTGAGCTGAGTTCATAGGTTGGGAATCAGGAGCTGAGGAGTTACTTCTGCCAATCAAGGTCCTCTTTTTGCTTGACACTAGAGAACCGAGCATAGAGGAATCCTTTTTTGGTGGTGGTGGTGGTGGTGTTATCGGCATCTTGGGAAGTCAACTCCGGAAAAATGGAAGATATGTTGTAAAGGCGAGTACCAGAAGGAGACGTTTTGTCAGTAATTTTTCCTTGCTTTAACCAACAACTGACGAACTGCCAAGTTTCTTAGTTGCTTGGTGTGTAATAGTAGTTTACGATTTACGATTTACGATTTTGAATTTTTATATGATTTCATTGATAAGCATTATTAAGCAATTATTGCAACTATATTACTAAGCAAAAAATTGTAACGGTAATAACGAAATCTACAAAAATATATACTGCGGAGAATTACGCGACTGACGATCAATTGATTTGAGACAATGATTTATTAAAAATGATATCATAAGATTACGCTAATTTTTTGTCCTACTTGAAAAGATTTAATAGGCTAGTAAAGAAATAAAAATAAATTCTTAAGTAAGGTACCTAAACGACATTTAGTATAGATGGCGGTAGTTCACTTTATATATTCATTCTAATCATTTCAACAACAATGACGTTTATACGTTTATATTTTAAATTTCCTCGTTCAAAATTTATTTCATTTATATTTAATATCAAGATGAATCGCTCTTAACATATGAAGAGCACTCTTCAACAAATTTAATATTGTCATTATCTAATAATTTATTGACATAATTTATTATGCAAACATAATTGATGATGATGGTTATTTTTGTGCGATTCTTGTTTGGGTATGGAATTTATTCAACATCAGATATTGCAACACATTCAAGCTTTTTTTTAATTACAAAGGAAGCCACCAAACAAAGACTTTTTTTTTAATTAGTAAATAATACCATATTTGGTTATTTTTTTTTTAATAAATTATCATTGCCGTAAATATCCAATTTATTAATTATTGATTCAACGTCTGCCCAAATCTAGTTAACCTGCAATCAAAAATAGGAACATGGAATGGGAGCACAAAAAAAAAAAAAATACGATTTAAATATAGGCGTTTATTTTCCACGTAAAAAAAAAAAATTCATAAACAATTTTCATGTATAAAAACCTTTGTAACTGTCGCACTTTGTGCTTTACAGCTTACCATGTCAAATCCCCTTTTAGCCGCAGCACTCAGTGCTATTACAAATCAGAATATTATTACTTATGACGACTATTTAAAGGGTAATGGAGGTTATTGTAATGAATTGGATCAAAATTCTCTACACCAATCTCATTTAGTTGGTGGTAAGGTACCTAAAGCTGAAGTTTCTCACCGTCAGCCTTATTTAGTTGGTCAGAGTGTACCTACAGCCGAAAATTATTTCACTCAATCTCATTTAGTAGGTGATAGTATGCCTAAAGTGATTTTCATTAAAACGTTAGGCGGCAAAACTATAACATTAAAGACAACATATGCTACGACAATCGATCAAATAAAATCGATAATTAGAGATAAGGAAGGTATATCAACAGATCAGCAACGATTGATTTTTGCTGGCAAACAACTAGATGATGGACGTACTTTGAATGACTACAATATAACAAAAGAATCGACCATATTTCTGGTATTGAGATTGAGAGGTGGCTGTCCCACTTTATACCTTCTTCCTAATCATCTTACTCCAAGATTCGATTATGATTTTACAAATATAAACGACAACGGAAAAACTCACATGAGAGGAAAATTTGAATACAAACGCCCTTGTGGTTGGATGAGAATTGCTCTTAATGTTCTTAACAAGTATGAAAATAATGATTGGCTTGGTGCTGGCGTTAGAATACATATAATGAGTCCGGTACAAAATGAATGGCCAGGCATGATTAAATTTTTTTTTTTTATTAATCTTTTGTCATTATTTTATTTCTATATATGTATTAACTTAAAAATTTTCTTTAATTCGATAATTTCAAAGTTTCTTATCATGGTACTGCAAAGCATAATTGTAAATCAATTGCTGAGGAAGGTTATGATTTGTGTAAGGGTAAACGATTCGCATTTGGGCATGGAATTTATTCAACACCAGATATTGAAGTCGCAGCTATATATGCTACTGATTTCATTCATGAGGGACATAGATATAAAGTTGTATTTCAAAATCGGGTTAATCCAAATAATTTAGTTAGAGTTACAATGGAAAAAACTAGTGTTGGTGAATTTTGGATTTCACCAAGCGGATCAGACATTCGCCCTTATGGTATATGTATTAAGAAAGTCAATTTATTTTAATTTATTTTTTAATTAATTATTCTAATCAATATGTGTAAATTGCACGAATCTGGCTTAGTTCCAGTGCTGTCAGACACAAATAAATCTTGTTATTTATCCCAAGAAAAAAAAGAAATTGGGCACTTGATCAACCACACAAAAACTATAAACAGTAATTTCCATGGTAAAAAAAAAAATTTCCAAAAAAAAATTTCAGCCACAGCAATCAAAGATAGCCTTATTTAATGCTTTGTGATAGGTACTAAAGTTTCAAGTTTCTGGACAATTATTATTCATTAAAACATTAAGTAACAATAGAAGCTGCAACTACCATGCAGTAATTGTTCACAAGACATTACCAAACCATCAACAACTTGAAGATGAACGTAGAATCGGTCAACATATGGTTTTGAGATCAAGAGATGAATTCATTCTAATCATGATTTGAATTTACAATATAAAATGATAATGGAACAACTTAAATACGAGAAAATTTTAAACGTTCCTTTTATTATGGTTACATTAAAAAACAGATGATTCCTACTATTATCCATAATCAATTTATTTATTTAGGTTTGTTATAATGGTACTGCCGAAGATGGTTTGTGTAAGGGTAAACAAATTTATATCGATATCATCTAGTTACAACATTCATTTATGAAGGAGATAGATATCAAAGAGTCGTATTAGAAAATAAATCCAAAGAAAATTACGAAGGAAGAAATTGGAGTTGGTGAATGTTGGAATCGCCAACCGGAGCAGATTTGGTATCTGTATTAAAAAACTTTGAATTTTATTGGGTACTCTTGTCGTTTTTATTAAGTTTATAACTTATAAATAAAAAAACGTTTTCGAAACACGTGAATTCTCAGATTATTTAAACGTTCTTCAAGTCCAAAAAAATTGATGCATCCACCCAATAGAAAATTTTTTTTTTAATCACATACCTCTGCATGACCAAGATTAAATGCAAATCCTCTTTAAATGACACGTTTAAATTTATTTTAATCTATAACAGTTCATATCACGGGGAATTATAATATCAACAAAAAAAAAAAAAAAAAAATGAAACGAAACTTTAAAAAAAAAAAGCTCCTGCTTCCGTATAGATAAGAAATTTTAAGAACCAGGATTGAATCATTCCGTTCAAATGTATTAACCATTTTATACAAATCTTTTTTCGAGATTAAAATCTACCTTTGAAAGGGTACCCCGTTCTGATAAAGTATACGCCAATTCCTTTTAGTTTTAGTGTCGCAATACCTATACGAATCACGAAGGAATAAAAAGCGATTTTCACATACAATAAACACAAAAATGGAATTTTGTATTGCAAACTTTAAAGTAGAATCCTTGTTCAAATAAACAACCGTGAGAATATTTTGTACCTAAAGGGAATTTCATTTGGATATACATGATAAACGGACATAACGCTTAAAACTCCGATTTTTTTGCTTTAAATACTTGAAATAATAATAATAATAATAATAATAATAAAAAAAAACCCTTCCTCAATACTGTCTGATAAATTATTTTTGTTTTTTTTTTATTCTCTTTCATTTTTGAAAACCTCAAAATTTTAAATCTCATAAAAAGTAAACGAAAAATGCCACCAGCATTTAATAGTCAAATTTTAGCTGCAGCAATTTCAGCTGTTTCAAAAAAATCGGTTATTTCTTATGAGGATTATAAAAACAAAACACTAGGAACAATAAATTATTTTGAATTAGATCAAAAAGTACTTCATCAAGCTCATTTAGTTGGTGGGCCCGTACAAACCTTTGGGGATGATGAATTTGATGATGATCCAAATATTGAATTCGTTTTACCAAATACAATTCTTCCATCTATCACTTATATTCCAAATTCCATCTTAATAAATCAAAATGCCATTCAATCGATTATTAACAACAATAATCCTGATCAATCATCCGCTCAACCCATCTTAAACCTTGCCATGCCACCCGCCACATCCACCACCACACCCGTTGAAAATCCTCCTCTTGAACCGACCATTGACCGTTCATTTCGTCAAATTCATGTAAGAACCTTGACGGGATTAACAATTGACTTATACCTTAACAAATCTAATACAATACAAGACATTAAAAATAGAATTCAAGATAAGGAAGGCATACCACCAGACCAACAACGTCTGATTTATGCTGGTAAACAACTTGAAGACGGTCGTACTTTAGAAGATTATCTTATACAAAATGATACTACTTTACATTTAGTATTAAGATTAAGAGGTGGAGGTGATTCTCGTCTGTTCATCCACACTCAACATCTTGATCCAGCATATGATTATGATTTCACTTATGTAAATGATAATGGAAGAACTTTTATGAGAGGTGACCACATTTATAAACGTCCTTGTGGTTGGAATAGAATCGCTCTCAATGTTCTCGACAAATATGATAATAATCTTTGGCTTGGGGTAGGTGGTGGTAAGAGAAGACATTCCACTGATTCCGTAAAGGATGAATGGCCAGGTAAACTTTTATCTTTATTATATTTATCCTTTTATTTTGTCTTTTAATAAATTGTACGTTTACCTTCTATTTTAAAACATTTTATTAGTTTCCTATCATGGCACCGCTAAATATAACTGTAATTCTATTGCTGACGATGGATTTCATTTTAGTAAAGGAAAGCGTTTCATGTTTGGACATGGAATTTATTCTACACCTGATATTGACGTGGCTGCCAAATATGCAACTAAATTTACTTATGAAGAGAATAATTACAGAGTCGTTTTTCAAAATAGAGTTAATCCAAATAATTTAGTTAGGCTTAAAAATGAAGAAACTGGATTTGGTGAATATTGGATTAGTCCTAATGGAGAAGATTTACGTCCTTATGGTATTTGTATCAAGAAAGATATATCTAGATAAAGGAAAAAAAAAAGCAAATCTGCTACATTGTATTAATTTCTTCCTTTTTGTAATTTTTTGTAATTTCGTGTGATGTAATTATTTCTCTTTTTCTATTTATATGTATATATGTATAAATAAATTATAAGTTTATTGAAATTAATAAAATGACTTTAAACTACACAATGTGCATAAACAAATTCATTTTATTTATCGGTCTTTGTTTACAAAAAAATTGATTTAATACTTTGAAAATCTCTAATATCTCCATTAAAAATTATCAAAATAGATTTCACTGATCATTTATTCAACTTTGTAACCTAATCCATATTTCTCAGGTTCTAATAATTCATCTGAAACACCATGAGCAATATTACGTAACTCGTTTCCAACCTCCTTCTTATCTTTGCCTGATAGTTCTAGATAATACTTTATCTTTGGTTCAGTTCCACTTTTAATAATAATAAAATTTCATAATCAATATTATGTTATCAAAAAGTTATAACTAGAAAATCCATAAATATAATACCTTGTCCTTAATGTTAAGTTACAACCATTCTCCAAACCAAAAGTTATCATATGAGAACTTTTAGATGTAGGTAAAATAGGTTGATTATCAGGTTTACTTGTATCATACCCAATCGTTAAATCTCGAATATATGTAATTTTGTGTCCTGATAAGGTTGAAGGATATGAAAGTTGATATGGATATAAATACTATTTATAATAAAATTTGTAAACAATTAGTTTATCTTAAAATTTTTGTTTTTTACAAATATTTATTTTGTTAAATACTTACATCAGGTTTAGATGATTTGACCTAGGTAAAAAAAATTATTTTTAGAATAATTCAATTTAATTGTTTAAGACATTGATGAACTTACCGGATTTTCACCAAATCGAAGTTTATTAAAAATTTTATCAATAGTTTCAGGAGAATGACAAATAAAATAAGATGTTTCGGTAACAAAATACCCATACCTGTAACGTTTTTAGAAATGAAAAAAAATTAAATATTAAAAAGGTGACATTCAATCCATTCTTTAAATAAAAAATGTAACATAACATACTTTTTATACAATTCATCTAAATATTCTGAAATCGTTAATCCACGTTTATTCAATTGTACAACTAGTTCAGCAAATGTAACTAAAGCAGAAATTCCGTCTTTATCCATTACAATTCCATCAATCATATATCCTATAGCTTCCTCATATGCAAACAAAACTTCATATCCTTGTTGAGTTAAATCGATTGCTTTGTTTCCTAACCATTTAAATCCTGTTAGCGTTTCTTCAAAATAAAATCCTTCATCTTTAGCCATCTTTTTCAACATTTTTGATGACACTGTACTTGCCAACATTGCAAGTTTATCTTTTAAGAAGAAAGAACTTTTTAATTAACAGAGAAAGAGATAAGGATATACATAAATAAAATAAGAAATTTCTTTATCATACTGATTGGCTTTCCTTGAGCTTTATAGTTTTCTAGAACTGCGGATGCTAACATAACTCCAATCTGATCACCCGAAAATAAAATCCATTCTCCGCTATCCAAAAATAGTATTAATAATTATTTTGGCGTAATAACTTAAAATTGCCAAGAACTCACTTCTTTTGCTTTTCAGATACAGAAAATCTATCAGCATCAGGATCATTAGCAAAGATAACCTCGGCATTATTTTCATCTGCTGTCTTCATGGCTATTGCCTAATAATGATTATATAGTCAATTTGTGGTCCAAATTCGAGAGATAACTGATGAACATCCAACATACCAATGCACCTAAATTAAGTTAGGCAATTTATTAATAAATTATTACAAATATATATATAAATATATTTTAAAGTATAACATAGTCCAAACCTCTTCCTTCCTCAGGATTTGGAAATGCGACCGTAGAGAAATCGGGATCAGGATCCTCTTGTTCTTTTGCTGATATAAAAGGATTTAATGAAAATGTTTCAAATGCTCTTTTAGCTACTGGCGTTCCTACTCCATGCATAGCTGTATAAACAAATTTAACTTTGGATGAGATATTTTCTTTACTATAAATGAAAAATTGTTAGATTAACTAAGGTTGAATAAAGATGATTATTATTACTATAAATTTATACCTATGATAAGATATTGCTTTTAATTCTTCAAAATAAGCGTCTGAAATCTCTTTTACATTATCAATACATAATGGACTATTATTAACCAATTCTGCATCCCATGTCCATGGCTCAAGATTAACTGAAATTGATTGAGAAATTCCTTTATCATGTGGTGGAACAATCTAATATGTAAAAGAGGAAATGAATTTTCCCTTTTTTTTAAAAAAAAAACTCTTATCATCCTATCTACCTGACATGCATTTTCCCAATAACTTGTAAAGATGAAAAGAAATGGAATATTTTAATATTCGGATTAAAAATATCTTAAAATCTACGAGCTAAATTTATAAATACTTACACTTTGTAACCATTATCTTTTTTGGGATTCTGCAAAATAAATTAATAATTAATTAACTAAAGATTTTAACACTTTAAATAATTATTATCACTTACATGAGAAGCTGTTATCATGATGCCACATGAAGCTTCAAGTTTTTTGACTCCAAATGGCTATACAAAAAAAAAATAATAATTTAATTTTTTTTTTTTTTTTTTATAAAAAGAAATTAAAGATACATACCACTAATGGAGTGTGTACCAATTCACGATAAAAATAAACTCGAAACCCTTTTTTTAGAAATGCAGCTGCTGTCAGTCTTGCGAACCTTTCAGAGTTATGTCTATGGTCATGCCCAATAACAACTCCTTTATCTACTGATGTTGGTAATACATCAAGAAGATACATGCAAAGTCCCTATAAAAA